TCGTTCAGTGAAAGGAAAATAGGAGTGTTTCCTGTGCTCAGCTCAGAGAAATGGATGGTTTGCTCCTAGCAGGTCTCATATAAGAACTACTACACCCACACACAAAACAGAGGACGACGAGCCTTGGCCATAGTAATCTTGCCAGTCTAGCTCCTGGAGATCAATTCATCCTTGTGGCACTTCGTAGTACAGATTGATAGATACATATACCGGTTTTGACTCCTAAGCTATACTAAAGACCGTTCAGCGAGATAGCAATACAGACAGGCAGACAGTCATAAAGAGCAATACTATCTTCAAATCTTGGTATGAATGAGAGGCAACTCACGCCTTCTGTCTCAATAGCCTTATAATTATGCTATTGGGGCTAGGTAAATAATAAAATTATAGGAAGGTCAAGTCCATCAACAAGATTGCAAGTCTTGTATGCCAGTTTGAGCGTGGATTGCGCACGGTTCTCCTATTTAGTCCTTAGTGAAAGTTAGGAAGGAAACCTAGCGGAGGATAGATTTTACTACTTCTGGAAATATAAATTTGTGTCCCTTGGTAAATGATTCTTGATGACTATCTAGTGTTGGTGCTCATCTGTCATCAGCACAGTAAGTGCTTGCTATGCCGACGGGTATTTATATACAACGGGAATCCCAAAGAGGCACCTGGAAGGGCAAGACCCAAGGTTTGTGAATGCTAGAAAATCAGATACCCTCTCTTCTACGAAGCTCCGCATCTTATCAATCAAGAGGCAGATATTTCATATTTGAGAAATGCACGCTGCATAATAGCTTGCATCCTTAGCGAAGGTCACACGACCAAGTTACTGTACCTGGGATGAAAAACATACTTATGTCTAAGGCATCAGACCATTTACCGAGGCATAATTACACTGATGGCTTTAGGTAGGAATACATCCGCACAGTATAGACGATACAAACTCAACACAGGCACTCAAACCGAAGATATTAGCAGTATGTAATATTCGAGTACCCGAATAAGCGAGATAACAGCCCAAACGCCTATCCTATGCATCCAGTAAGAAAACCCACGCCAACCATGCTAGTATGTACAAATAATCGAACAATCACACACTACCTCCTCCCCCAACCACGACCTCACGAACGTGAGCGAATCCGTCTGGCAACCGGCGTCGATCCCGCATTGACCTTAAGCAGACTCGTCTTCGTGCTACTGCTGCGGAGTGATGTCTTGCTGCTGCTGCTGCTTGTCATGCTGGCGGTGGCACTGCTCCCCTTGGACGGGGCCTCGATCGTCTTCCTGGGGGATTTGGGGATCAACTTCTTGCGTTGACCGAGGGGACTATCATTGCCGGAAGATGCAGACGACGAGGTGGGAGAAGAGGTGGGAGCAGCAACAGCCGTGGTTTCGGGCCCGGACGCTCCGCGCACGCGCCGCGCCCGCGGCGTTGCAGTAGCGGGTGCAGTAGTCGCTGCGTCGGGGACCGTCTCACCACCAGTCTTCTGCCCCGTCTGCGACCGAGTCGTGCGGCCACTGGCTGCCTTTCTTTTCACATCGGAGGGTTTGTCCGTGCTGCGCTGATGCGTTACCCCACGGCCCACACCAGCGACGTCATTTTTGTGACCGGTCGCATTGGCGTCTTCACCTTCGAACTCCACGAGTCGGTTGTTGTTCCAAGACACATGTTTCTTGGCCTTTGCACTTTCTCGAGCCACCGGAGCAGGGCTGGCTTTGTCGTCACCGATCGGAGTGGTGTAGCTTTTGTGAATTTGAAGAACATGCAGTGTTTGCTTCGGCATGGTGGAGCTGCCCTTGTTGAACCGCGTGTTGCGTTTCGTGGCCAGAGCGAGCTCTTGGGCCTCGGTCCGCTGGAGAAACACAAACTCGTTGCCCTTGGCACGGCGGAGAGCGAAGGTGCTGCGCACTGCAGCCGCCACGGTAGAGGGGCGTACTGGCGGGGCACGCGGGCGTGTGCTACGACGCGGGCTTCCGGCCTCTTGGTTCTCGTTCTCGAGCGACTTGGTCGGAGATACTTGCTGTGGTTTTTGCGGCGAGGGCGAGTTGGCGTCGAGGTCCTCCAGCGCGCGCCGCGACGGCGGGGTTGGCATCTCAACCGGTGACGTTTCCTGCATCTTCTTGGCTTCATCCTCCTTTTCGACCAGCAGGGCCTTATTTGCGGCCATCTCTGCGGCCTCAGTAGCTTCGGTCTCAGCAACAGCTTCGGTCTCAGCGGCAGCAGCAGCAGCCTTGGCGTCACGCTTCGCCTGGGCCTTAGAGAGGAAGTTGCTCAGTAGTTCGGCGTCTTCTCCGCCCAACGAGCTGCGCAAAGCCGACCGCACAATAGTCGATTCCTGCTCGACGGTGATATCAGGAACGATAGCAGGGGTCTCCGGATTCGATTCCAGCTTCGTCGCGCTCAGCAGAACCTCCTTGATCGTAGCAGCGGCATCACCGTCATCATCACTGTCCTCCTCCGCAGTATTTGTAGTAGGCGAATCAGTATGTGACCCTCCGACAACCGGACTAAACACAGTATATGGCGAAGCATGACTGATCTCGTGTCCTTTTATGTTTGTCATGTCCCCGTCCAAACCGGGGGACAAACCGTCCGAATCGCCAGGTAGCGTGCGGGGGTAGGGCGCACCGGGCACCAATTTCGTAGGGGTCTCCGGGAGGTCAGCCGTTGCTAATTCGTCCGGCTCGCTGATAACAAGGTTCTCGTGCATCGACGTGGACGCGTCTCGCTCGTCGCCGGTACCCTCGATATTGTCATGTGGCTGAAGAAGACTGTCCGTCGCCATCGGTTCATCGGGAAGGTCCACAAACTCGCTGTAAATAAGTGGCAGCTTGCCTGATCATCGTTAGTTCTTACGTGAAACATGACGTCTTCCACTCGCCAAGAGGGCAAAGTATATATAGCCCCCAAGCCCAAGGAAGAACCAAAAAAGAAGGTAACTCACGTCGCCGCCCTTTTGAATCAGACTCCCACTGTGTTTCCAAGAATGATCTTCCTCGTGAGTTTCCGCTGGCAAGGTCATCCGGGTCCAGCGCGAAGCATCTCCGCTTGACTCCGCGGACGAGGCCCGGATTCCTCGTGCTGTTGATCTCGAGCTGTAGCTCCTCGTCAATCGCGTGCCGCTCGCCCGCGGTGATCTGCTGCAGCGCTTTCATGCTGTTGAACGAGGAGCGAAAGCGCTTCCAGACTTTGCGCGACCGGCCGCGTGCGCGAAACGACGTGGATGGCTTGCGGTCCCAAACGTGCGGAGCTGATCGGGTGAGGGTTTTCGTTGGGGTGAATCCAAACTTGGTGTTCTGAGGAAGCTTCAGATGTGGGGGGCTATTCAAGGTCGCATATTAGACATTTGGAGGCGATGGGGTTCAACACAAGTCATGATGAGGTAGGTCCAAGGTAGAAGAAAGGAGGAGATGCAAGAAAGGGGCCAGGCCGGAGTGAGTGAGCCAAGTGCTGGCCTGTCTTGGATCGATATTGCAACTCTCATGGAAAGGGGCTGCTGATTTGACATGAAGAAGATGAGAGTGCTCCACGTACCATAACGTTTGGAATGTGACGGACGGACAGACAAAGTCCTCCATCGTGATGGTCGGGACCGAGTTGGAATGTGCGGCGTGTTTTTGACGTCAAGGCGCGGGTAGAAGGAGCGATACGCCGATGGATAACGGGGTAGAAGATATACCACTATGATGTCGATTAAAATGAGGCGTCCAAGACGCGTCTGTTGTCGGGATGCGATAGCAATAAATAAATGGCGCGATAGTTTCAGAGCAGAGCTGGGCTGGCGATGGAAATGGATAAGTTATTGGTTGGAACGGGCAGGGCGAGCCACCGGGCTGTTTTGGCGGTGATCGCGTTGCTGGGCCAACCACCACTCCAGCTCATTCACTGCCTGCACCCATAAAGCACTTCAACCTACGGAGTAGACTCTACAAACGCCGAGGTACTTTGTTCCTAGCCTAGCCCAGCAAATGCTATTCTACGATCGGCTAAATGCAAATCAAGCTCGTAAACGTGTAATCATCGCGGTTCCCATCAAAAATCCCGCCCCCGCTCAGAACAAGAAGATCACCCAACACCCAGAACTCCAGTCTCCACGCTGTTCATTGGCTTCAATGCAAGATGATTTCGCAAATATACCATCTCCCCCACCTAAGCTCCTTCCTCCATATCTCTCTCATCGAACGGATCCCCGAATTCCTCTGCAAATGCTATGCATCAGTACCACGTTCGAAACCGCCGACCCCATGGATCCCGTAGACATGTCGGTCAGATGTATAGACAACGTACCCAAGCTGAAGTCTTGATCGATGACGAATTCCATTGCTCGTTGGTATTCCTCCTCCGCCCGCTTGTTCATCCACGACGCCACTGGGGCGGACTGCTGGGCGCCCTGAGGGAGAAGACCCTGGGCTGCCAACGGCGAGGCAACCGGTCCTCCGGGACCGTGAGACTTTCCGGGACCCTCGAAGGCGCTGCTCTGAGTCTGCGAGCCGGGCGGGGACAGTTCGGAGCCGTCGAAATGAGGAATGTGGGTTGGGAGCTTGTTGGTCGGGGTGCGGGTGCCGGGGTTGGAGTCATCGGAGGCCATCGGGGAGGACTCGGGAGAAGAGGCCATCTGCGAATCGCCGTCTCGGTCTGCAGAGACAGTCAGCATGCAGCAGCGGAGGTTTGCTGGGTCGAATCTGGGGATGCTCGAGGGGGGAAAGCGGGGCCAAGCCAGCAGCCGCTGGAGATGGGAACTGACCGAGGTTCATGGTGAGGGCTGTGGTGTGGCTGGCGGGCAGTTCGAATCGTAGCCTGCTGTACGCTCGGTAGAGATTCGAGAGAGCAAGGGAGTTTGTAGAAAGAACGCGAGTGGAGAGTGGTTGTCGGAGGACGTCTTCGTAGTATGAGTAGTAATGGTGGAGGACGATAGGTGCGGGCTCCGGGGACGGTGGGAGGATCTTAGTTAAGCAACCCTTCCTTTTCCACCTCAGCATTGCTGTTCTCCTCTCTCCTCTTCAAGTCTGCTCCTCTTTCCCCTCTTTCTAAACCAACACTACACAGTCCCCCTCTGCTTCTCAATTATATATTCGTACGTCACTGTACAAACAGTAAACCTCGTGTTAATCCATTTCAAACCCCCAAATTTCTATCTCCACCGCATCACTCCCGCAAATCATTGTTGCAAATCGCTTTCGATCCGCCCTCCACCGAACAACCATATACTGCCATGAGCGCAAAGTCCTCAACAGGCCCCGATGCATGGGCGGAAAATTGGGAAGAACAGGCTGATGTACGTCTAGATCTTATATTTGAATCTCTACTCCCCACATTGCTGTCCCCATTGCAAGGACTCTCTCCTTTACTTTCACACCGCTGACATTTCAAAAAAATTTCCCCAGAAACTCGTGGCCGACACCCCACCCCCGCCGGCGGAGAAGAAAGTCTCCTCCAAGGTGACCAAAGCGCAGCGCAGAGCCCAACAGGCTGAGTTCAACCGCCAATTATGGGCGGAAGCGTAAGCCCTTCTCATTTCCGAAAAAATCATAATGTTATTGTCCTGACACGCTCTCTGTTTGTTCCGCGATGTGCAGTGAATCACCCCAGACTTTCCATTTTCTTGAAGCGCGCTCCGATGTGCCCCTTCGGCAAGAATTCAAACCCGCAGTCACAGTACTCAGTCGGAACCCACAGATCGCGACGCGTGGTTCAGGGTTGAACGGAACCACGGCGGGAATGTCCCGTCTGGGCCTAAATGATGACGACTCGGAGGATGACGGCAGGGCTGCTCTGCCCTCTGCCGAGGAACGCCAAGCGATAGCGCTGCGCAACTTGGAGGACAGGCAGCGCAAATACGAAGAGGTGCGAGAGCGCTTGTTCGGCAGTCCCTCCGCCCCCACGTCGGGGGCGTCGTCCCCGCGCAGTGCTACGCCTCCGAAACCGTACGAGGGACGCGGTAAAGGTAGAGGTCGCGGTAATGGACGGGACAACAGCTCCAACAGCAGCAAACGCGACTCCTCCACGGCGTCCGGGAAATCCGGGCAGTTGTATGACCCGGACTCTCCTCGAACGAATACCGGCTACACTTCTCGGAGAGAGAAGCAACCCGCAGGCCGGACCAACACCGATGGCACCCAGTCACCCCGTCAGCCAATCCGCAGCCCCCGGGGACCCGATAGCAGTGGTCGAGGTGGTTTCCGAGGTGGCTTCCGAGGCGGTCGAGGTGGTTAAAGTACGTGCACTATCTACGATACAACAATAATTCCCTCCGCCCGAACAGGGCAATACATATCCAAATTGCCAGCGCCGCGACGCCCCAGGCACAAAGATATTTATTCGCTCGATTAGACTTCGAAGAGATCCACCGCACGCTACGGTAGCCCTCGCCCAGAATTTATCGCGTTGGCCAACTGCGATGTGTTGGGCCGGTTTTCTAGAGGTGTCAGCGCCTCATCAGCCTGAACGGGATACGAATACTTACCCGCGTACCGCTCATAGCTATCCAGATAAAGCCCATCATCGCTTGTGGTCCCCGCAACGTGGGGGTCGTTCTCGATCGCGTCTACCCACGCACCCCATCTGCTACCAGCTTCCGGGTCTGGCCAGCCGCGATACGGCTTCAGCACCCGTCGGAGCCGGATGATCCAAGGCGCAACCTGTACGTCGACAAAGGAAAGTTTGTCGCCCAGAAAGAACGGCCCTTCGGGATGAGCCGCGCCAACCAGAGTGTTGAACGAGTCACGGAGTTCTTCTGCATGCGATATCTGTTTCTCCTGATCCTGTTCTTGGAGAATGCGGTAGAACGTGGGCACAATGTGGCGATTTACCTGTCTTGGTTAGGTGGCATGTTCTCATTTTGGACTTTGGCACATACATAATCAGCCCACAGTCGACAATGCGCTCGCAATTTTGGGTCCCCTGGAGGCAGGAGCGGAGGGCCGGCGTTCAAGTCTTCCAACTAGAGGCGTGTCAGAAAGGACCGGCGAGGTCTGAAGCCGATCACTTACGTATTCGAGCAACACGGTGCTCTCATGCGAACTCCAGTCCCCGTGGCGCAAGGCAGGAACCAGGCCCCTAGGGTTGACCTCAAGCAGGGATTGGGGCTTCTTGTAAGGGTCGACTTCGATATACTGGTACGGACTGCCCTTGAATTGCAGAGCGATCCACACGCGCTGGACAAATGGACTGCAGAAGATGGTCAGCAACTTCACCAGGCGGGTTAGCGCGAACCGTCTCACCAAAAGCAACTACCAAACAGCTTCAGATCGTTGTCTTCGGAGTGATCGGCAACAGTCTTGGCTGCGAGCCCGGTAGCTTTGGTGTGGTACGACTTCTGTGGTTGGTTCTGGGTAGACATGGTTCGCGTCTGTAGGCGGCCGGCGTTAGAACGGAGATATGCTGATGGAGCGTGTGCAATTGCCGATTGAGTTCGGCACGTCAGGCTATTCCACAAACAAGGACTCGTCTGCCAGAAAGATCGAAGGAACATAACGCAAGATGGCAAAAATGATGGAGAAAGAAGAGAAGGGGAAGCGGGGAATTGCGTGCGGTGGTCAGGTTCAGCCCGCCGCACCAGTGACGTAACCCTCCCCCCCTCCATCAACACCACCGCCCACCGACAGTAGTAGAACATAGAGACAAATAAAAAGGCATCTCGAAACTTACCGAGACCGCCTTCTTCCTCTCTTGCCTCGCCTCCTTCAAGAGAAACCGCTGTACACTATTCTTCTTCACGCGATCACTCTCTTCCAGCGTATGCCGATGCCCCCCCGTAACCCCATCATTCTTCCCATTCCCCCCATTCCCATTCACCCTCTGGATAGTAAAGAACCGCTGCCCCTGCAATCCCGGATGCCCCTCGGGCAACAGCACATTCAGATTCGGCGTTAGCATCCCAAACGGATGATTATAATTGGACCCGGAGACTCCCTCCATCCGCTCAGCGGCACTATTGCTGCCAGTAGCAGCAGCAGAACCACCACCCCCTGCCCCCACCGACAAACCCTCCCCTTCCTCCCCTTCCTCCCCGTCCTCCCCCTCCCCAACCCGCCCATCACTCTCCCGCTCAACCGACCAAGGAAAATACTCCGTGATCTTGATCTTGACATCGCACAGATCCCGCTCGCGGGCCGTGCGCTTCCGCTTCTTCTTGTTGGGGTCGGTGGACTTGGGCGTGCCCGGCGGGCGGCCCTTGAGCCGGCAGTCCCAGTAGTGCGAGACGAGGGGCTTGCGCTTGTAGTGCTGCGTTGAGCGGTGGGAGTAGACGTTGTCGATGTGCGGGAAGTAAGTTAGGAATCTGCCCACCGTCCTTGGGGGTTTAGTATGTAGAATCGCGCTCTTGTTAGATGCCCCGGGGAGAGTGGGGGTGAATGGATAGGGAAAAACGCACTGTTCCTCACTAAGGACGATCATTTCATCGATGTTGAAGAGGCGCGTGCGCCAGAGGTCGAGGTCGGGAGGACTGAGGATGGTGCGGATGTCGAGGGGCTGGCACTGCGTGTGAAGTTGGGATTGTGGTTGGAGCTGTGTGTAGGTGGAGGTGGATGGTCCTGAAGAGGGGAGGGGATTGTCTGCTGGGACGAAGGGCTGGAGATGCTTGGCTTGCTGGTGGTGGTTCGGATGGAAGTTTGGGTTGGGAGAGGGGAATTTGTGGTGGTGTTGTTGTTGATGCGGTGGTTGTGATGCAGCTAGGGTGGATGCGTCTGCAGCGACCGAGGGAAGGGAGGGTGCTGGGTAGGTTGAATGTGAAGCGGAGTGGTGTAGATCACTGGACGAGACGCAGAGGGAATTGTCCATAATTATGAAGTAGCCAGCTCGTATGTTATCTTATACTGTATAGAAACAGTGGATTCGATCTAGATGGAAGGGCAGGCGAAGAACGCTGCTTTAATCGGGGCGGGGAGAAAAAGAGGCTGGGGTTTGAAGCGGCGGGCGGTGAGTGGGGCCTCCCGAGCATTTTCCCCCGCTTCTTTATTGGTGTCGATCCCGCCTTCTGTCTGACGAATGGGGAAAAGCTTGAAGCTTCCGTCCAAGTTCCCGCCGTCACTTCAAGGTTTCATCACTCCGTATCTAGATCGAACTTGAGAAAAAAGGAACAAAATTCACCGAGTCACAGGACGACTCATCCGCAGCGCCGCAAAAAGCTCCACCTGCGCCTCCTGCACCCTAGCGAAGAGCTACCTACGCTATTTCGTGCAGCCCTAATCGAGAGAACATGAAGATGCCCCGCGCGAAGTCGGAGCTAAAGTCGCAGCAGATGAGCGTATGGTCTTCGATATCAATTCTCGCTCTCGCGGGGGGAGGTGGAAGGTCCGGGAATGGTCGGGACAGGGGCACGGTCTCCGTGCGGATCTGTCGGATGAGGTCGACCTGGGGCTGGAATGGGACCTCGGGGTAGAGGGAGGTGGGGGTAGAGGCTGACCATGAGGGTTGGTCTAGTAAGCGCTCGAAATTGTATTGCGTAATGGGGCGGATGTCACTGTCTCCTTGGGGGTTTCACGTGTCCGTCCGCTGGGATTGCGGGCTGGATGACGAGGAGGCGTTGGAGGAGCTTGTCAAGCTGGATTCTTGTGCGCTGGTTGCAGACACGGAGTCGGTGGGCTGAGGGAGAAGAGGAGGTCATTGTAAGGGTCGTGGGTGATGGTTGACGAGCTTATGATGGATGTTAGAGAAAAACAGGCGGAAGAGGGCCAAAAGAAGGAAAAGAAACATGTGAGATGTGAATTGACTGTTCTTGACCTCAACGGATCTACTACCCTGCCCTACGCAGTGGTAAAGCAAAGCAAGCAATTGTGTACCTGGGGTTGGCTATGCTTGCTACCATGGTTGAGTCATGTGGAGTCGAATACTTGCTATACTCGGAGCTATAGTTTTCTATTCTTTCCCAAAGACGAACCCCAGTTCAGAAGATCTATATCAATTTGATCCATGAAATCTATATATTGCTCAACAAATCAATCTGATCCGGACAAGTTCACAATTATGATCGATATACAACTTTCCTTCTCGTGCCTTCTCACTGTCCACCGCCATCACTTTGGTACTACCTCTCTTGTATATTAGTGGAAAACATACAGCGGTGCATTGGGGCGAGAATAGGACGTCAAGCGCCTAAAGAGATCGCCAAAGGAATCGGTCCGAGCAGCTTCGTATGCTTCACCTCTTTCTCACAGAACAGGCCAATGAGGGTTGTCGTTCGCGAACGGATTACCGACAATGCAACCCCGCTTGCGATGGCTCGGTCCATTCTCCAGAAACGAGCCATATTCTTCGTCGGCATCTTTCGCGATAAGCATCCGGCGAAGTCACATTGTCAGCGACATCATTGATCGTTCGTGGGTTCCAGCTTGCAGGCGCAAGCCAGCATGGAATTTGGCATCGGAGAATGGCTTCACCAGGACTACCATTACGGTGGTTTTTTGCATCCCGATTTGTCTTCACATGAGCCTCGAAGCTTGACCTTGCACTCTACCAGTGCTTTTGTGTCTGCCATAAGAGCATCCGCAAGGGCTCCGGCTCCGGCTGCTGTGAAGCGCCTTCTCTGGCCGCCGACGGTAAATCAAATGGTGCAGAACCGCATGTGCTTTAGGTGACCACCATCTCTGCACATTGGGGCTCAGGTGCATGATGATGTCGAGGAAAGTTGTCAAACTGCAGTTGACAATGTTTTCGTCGGCCTTTTGAAACTAAGCCTTTCCGGTCCGAAAGCTTGAGAGTATTCGCTGGCATTGTAGGAAGAACAGGATGATGTGTAATATCCCAGAGAAGAATTCAAGAATTTCAAGATACAGTATGTATATGTGGGAAGGAGAGTGTAGAAAGCAGAACGAAAAGAGGATATCTAAGAACTAACTAGACAGGGGTTGCCCGGAGAAAAGGGCCTGACATTAACCGAGACATCTCTTGCTTGAATGTCTAAGAAGCTATATTCACAAGGAGATTGGTTACTTTGATACCAGGAGCTAGATAGACTTCTAGTACAGCTAAGTTAATAGGTACTTTAGTGGGGGAGAAACCTGGACGGAGAAGGGAGCTTTGCATTCACAGAAACGTCTTTTGCTGAAATATCCACGAGGTCCTATTCACAAGCAGTATACTTTAGCTACTTTTGATACTGGAACCAGATAAACTAGCCAGTCAACTGACTACGGGACGTTGGTTATAAATCTAGGGCTATGTATGCCGTAAGCACCAAAGACGTTGTTGAGGATAAGACTAGATTAGCCTGAAAGAGCCAAGGGAAACTAGAAGCAATCCAATTCAGGCATTGAAGCTTGATTTGAACTTTATATTAGGCCTGTCGAGAAGAACATAGCTCTGGGAAAGTATTCATACTAATCAGCGTGACTGCGCGCAAGGCAGAAGAACAGATAGATCTACGTGCACCGTCTATCCCAGGTCCTATTCATGCTGAATACCGGTGGCGCGAGATCCAACCAATCAATTATCGCTACCGTAGAGTACACAGAGACAATTGACTCACCCTTTATTTGTAATGTGTCAAGGAGCTAAATCTCGCCACCTCAACACTCAACTCCTGTAAACTCTTCATAATAAAGTCAGCCTTGTCTAAGGTCATCCCCAAGTCCCTGGACACCCAGGTCCGAAATTCCATCTCGATGAGTGAGTCCACCCCGTTCTCCCGCACCGAGCGTGACGGGTCAATCTCGTCTTCGGCAATGCTCAGTATCGAGGACAGCTTTTTCTGGATTCCCACCAACACCACCTCTATGGCAGCTTCCTCGTTCTGAGCGGTGGCTAGTAGAGTCTGCACATCATGTTGCTTGATTGAGGCTGTCGGCACCCCGGCTGGGGACACGTGATCCCGCAGATTCATGAACAATGGATGTTGCAGATGGGGCGGAATGGGGATACCACGTTGCTCGTACGCGGATCTAGTGGCTAACCCGCAAATGAGCTGACAGGTCGCCGGAGTTCGCTTCAACCGTGGGTCCAGTGCGTGGTCAATGATGGCCAACATCTGATCCTCGCGATGCACGGTAACAGCTCTGAAGCTGTGACGGAGAGACTCTCGATGTTCGGCATAGAACCCCACCGAGTCGACGGCGCCGAGGTCAATGCTCACGCCTGGGAGACCCTGAGACACACGTAGCCGGGCTAGTGCATCTTGAAAGGTGTTTCCGGCGTTGTAGTTTGCTTGACCGCGATTTCCAACCACGCCTGATATTGAAGAGAGCATAACGAAGAACTGAAGATTGTCAGATGAGAGAAGTTGGTGAAGATTCCAGGACCCCTGCACCTTGGCCTTGAGGGGCGCCTGCCATTGACGGTGGCTCATTTTCTCGAGCGCACTGTCCGCCAACGCCAGTGCGCAGATTATGCATCCCCGGATCGAAGCACCGTTTGGACCTCGGATGTCTCGGAGAACGGTCTTGGTTCTCTCGGCGTTCGAGATATCACAGCAGATCACCTGGATGCGGCAGCCCTTGGCCTCCAAGGTGGATACCGTGGCCTGCCCGGCGGTGTGCAGTTGAGAGGTCCGGCTGAGGAAGATTAAATGCCTCGCTCCTCGCATAACCATCCAATGGGCGATACTACAGCCGATTCCCCCCATTCCACCCGCCAGGATGTAGGCAGCATTCGGGTCAAGAGAATACGCCGCTGGGGGGTCAGGAGCACAAGGAATCTTGTCAGTCTGCTGCGGAACGCAGACGATCTTGCCCATAGTCTGGCCCGTCTGAAGAGATCGTAAGGCGGGTTGTATCTGCCCGTATGGCACGAACGTCACCGGCTCTGGTGGATGGATTTTTCCATCCTGCCACAGTTGCATGATCTCTTGTAAAAGATCGCTCACAATTCTGGGGCAATGCTTTGCCAGCTTAAGCGCATCTACTCCAATAAACATTTTGTTGTTGGAGAAGGGGCCCATGTCTAGCTTTCCACCGGCTTGGATATCCCGCTTGCCAACTTCGATAAAGCGCCCCAACGGCGCAAGGCAGCCCCAGGACTCGTGCAAAGCCTCCCCAGATAGTGAGTTTAGGATAACATCCACCCCTTCTGGTGCCAGCTGGCGGATCTCAGTTACAAAAGCTAGGTCTCGGGTGAAGAAGATGTGGTCAGCCGGAATCCCGTACTTGCTAACCAGGAGCGTCTTCTTCTCGACTGTTGACACAGTGGCGAAGATCTCAGCTCCAACCATCTGAGAGTACTGTATCGCCGCCTGTCCGACTCCACCAGCAGCCGCATGGATCAGAATTGATTCACCAGGCCGCAACTGGGCAACCTTCTTCAAGGCATACAGAACCGTGGTCCATATGACTGGCATACTAGCGGCCTCTTCAACGCGCAAGGCTGCTGGGACACGTACCACGAGGTCCTGCTCAGTTCGTCCCAATGTTCTTAATGCACCAAAGTTAGACCCGTAGTTGAGATATGCTACTCGATCTCCAACCTGTAGCTGCCCCCTAACGGCTGACCCTACTCGGGTCACGATACCAGCAGCTTCAACACCAATGGTCACTTCCGGAAGCTCTCCCATCACTACGAGTAGGTCCCTGAAGTTCAACCCCGCCCCACACACGCGGGTCTCAACTTCCGTTGGCCCCAGCGGACGTGACACATCTGTGTCTGACACCCAGTGTAAACTGTCAAGTGCTCCTGGCCGTCCAATTTGAAGCCTTACCGGCCGTTGCAACGAATTCCACCCTGTGGATTCAATTTCCGGGCCTTTTCACTGAGCGTTTATCGAATGCGTTGCCTCGTCGTTCTCGACGATCCGGGCTGTCTGAATCTGGGGGCCATGAAGTAGATACTCTGCGTTTTGATGGTAGCTCCCCATGCAGTTACCATGTAGAAACTGATGCGAGAAGATCCGCGCGACCCCGTTAATCACGTCTTCTGCCGAACTTGTTGCAAAGTCGACCGCCACAGTCACTAAATTCAGATTGTTTGCAGCACGTTCTATTCGGACCGTGCGAATAAGACCAACCGCCAGAGTCTGTCTCGGGTCTTCACAGCCAGTGATCCATTGAATGCGGTTGCAGGTGGTCAATAAGTGCTTGACGCGGTCGAAGTTGGCTTCATCCATGTCATACAATAGCAGGCAATGGAGCTCCAAAAGGGAAATGCAAACAACGTCCCGCAAAGATTTGCTATCTAGGGATTGGAGGCGCTCGATAGAACAATGCTCAACCCCTGTGCTCATGAGCCGTGCTTGCAGAGCTCGAGCATGATTTTCGTCCTGATTCTCTGCGATTACAATCACAACCACACGATCACTGGCAGGTACTGGTACAACTGCCGTCGATACCATGAGATTGAGTTGGTTGAATTCTGGGTACTGAGAGCTAGGGATCTCGATATCCACACCTGAAAATCCCGATTGGGAAATCACTTTCTCCCACTTGTCGGCTGGAACGTAGGGACACCATTGCCGGAATGGTTCCGTTGCTGACCACCATCCAGCCAATGTGCTGAAAATTATATTAATATACGCGGTGTCCTGACGCGCACCCTCCAGAGTAATCATCCTGCCGCCAGGTTTCAGCAACGACCGAGCATGTTTCATAGTCTGGAGGATATCCGGTGTGGCGTGAAGAACGTTGCTAGCAATAACCATGTCGTACGATTCTCGCGCAAATCCTTGTGTGATAGGATCCACGCTAATATCCAATACTCTGTATTGGAGTATGTGTCCCCAGGCTGCGAAGCGAGACTTGGCCCTCTCAAAAAAGCTGGATGACAGATCGGTATAATCGTACTCCGCGACACAGTTATTGCAGAACTCCCTATGCTCTCCCACGGGGCACAAAAGACGCAAGATTAGACTGGTGAGACTGCCGGTGCCAGCGCCAATTTCAAGGACCTTCATATCAGAGTAGGTATGATGAAACGTGGACATAAGCTGAGCGAAGCGAGTCGGGAAGGGGCCGGTCTCCATGACCGAGTCATAGTACTTGGTCATGAGGTCATCTTGTCCAAACATGAGGTACAGAGGATCGGATTCCTGTTTGAGAATTGATCCCAGCTGCGTGCCTATGCGAAACAGAAGTTCCCCGGTGATGTCACGCGTAGCGACACGTACAAGTAGGGCCCTGCTCATCTCGTGGTTCTGTGAAAACTTTTGCCACTCATCCGAGCTCACCTCGGGGAGCAACCCCTTAGCTACGTCTTGAGCCAGTTTTCTCAGGTATGCATAACATCTGATATGGTGCTGTGAGGCCGTGGCTGGAAAGTGATACCCCTCCAACTCAGACAATGCTTTGCTCGCCAACAGTGCAGCCGCTAATTGCAGCTCAATAAACCATACCCGCTCTGCGTCATATTCAGTTTGTTCCTCTTCCAGTGTATTGATGGATGAAGTGGAAATAAAATTGGCATCGTTGCTCCATTGCATGGAACAACAAACTTGATTGTCAATTCGCCCGGCAGCCTGAGTCTGGAGAGGGGAGAAACGAACACCACTGAAAGACAGGACTCCACCAGCGCTTGAAGCACTCCACGCACGTGTATCAATAGAATAGGCGTCATGCGCAAAATGACATGCTTTTGCATAGCAACTGAGACTGCTTTGATTTTGGACTTTTGCTGATACCCAAACGCGTTTTATGAAATTAGGGACAAGGCTGTTTCTGAAAGTGATAGTGCCGGTGAGATCGCAGATCGCAGCGAACCCCGCGTGCAAAGCATTGTCAAGTGTAATCGGGTGTATGAGATGTGGACGAGCAAATCTCTTAGGCATAGCCGCTGCAACATCAGGAATGGTGATTTTGCCGGACATAACGCCCCCTTTGATTCCTCCCGTCTTCACAGACGAGAGATTTCGGAATGAGGAACCAAGCCGAAAGCCGACAGAGTCAAGATTGTCATAAACCCTATCAAACTCCATCGATGTCTGACAAGCAGATGCTTGGTCTTCAGTTTTAATCCAGGCTTTGCGGTCGATCGCATCTTCGCGCCCATTGGTGACGGGATTGGGAGAGAGAGCAGCGTCTCCGGCGATAAACCCAGTGCAGTGCTCAGTCCATTCATCAAGATCAAAACTGTATGAGCTCACTGAGAACCGGTTCCACACTGTTGAATTTGACAAATTCGACTCTTCCGCCGGGCACATGGAGAAACATGTTTCAATGCCGTAGTTATCAACAGGAACGATCAGAATCGCCTTCAGATTCACATCTCGAATACGAAACCCGGCCTGAGTGGTCCCATCCCACACTTGTCGGAAGGCCTCTATGGCCATCACGAGATATCCGGCACCAGGAAAGACGATCTTTCCCGAAATCTGACTTGGTCAAAGACTGAACGTTGGGTAAGCACGAAGTACCAGTATTGCTTACCATATGATCCCGTAACCACGGATTTTCGCTCACTCGCAGGTAGTGCTTCCAACTTTGGTGCAAGCAGTTTGAATCCGGAATCGGAGCGCCGAGTAGCTCATGTCGCGGGAACTTCCTGAACCTCAGCGCTCGAGTCAAGCGGCTCTCATAGAGACTTTTCTCAGAGTGATTGAAGGGGTACGGAGGCAGGTCAACCGCCTTTACAGGGCTCCTGGAACCCGACTGCAAGCAGCTGTTCACTTCAGACAAATTGACATTTGCACCCCCAGCGACAAGATGACCGACGGTGTTCAGTATTGTTCTTGTTGAGGAGTCCATGCGGTTAAGTATCATTCGATAGGAGATGGAACCCTCGTCAGCTAGAGTGTCTTTGATTGCGCTCTGAAGGGCACCATGAGGCCCAATCTCAATCAGATAGTCGACTGTGCCGTGGCCATCATCAAAGCACATACGTTCCAATGCCCCAGCAAAGTCAACAGTGGAAACTAGGCTGTTGACCCAGTAAGTTTTGTCCAGTAGGGGTTTCAAAACCTCCTTGTCAGTGCTGCTCGAGAACATGCGAATGGTGTGATCCCCAGGTGTCCTATAGTTATAGTCTGCCTCCCCGGACACATTGTCTAGGGCAGCCTCATACTCATCCGCAATGTCTTTCATGCGGGGAGAATGGTAGGCGTTCGGAGCTCTGAGACGACGCATGAAAACCGATTCCGTGCTCAATCTCTCCTCCAATGCCAACACCAGGTTCTCATCCCCTGAGACCGTGTTATTTCTGGGACTGTTGTAGCATGCGATAACAAGTTCCCCGGGTACCATGCGACGAATCTTCTCCACGTGTGCGAGTAGGGTAGCACTGTCAAGGCCAACGGCTAACATTGCTCCCTTTGGTTTACCCAGAATCTGCATAGTCAAGCGTCCGCGATGGTAAGCAGCATCCCACGCCGCTTCCCGAGGGATCTTTCCTGCACAGTAGGCTGCTGCAATCTCACCAGATGAATGACCCACTACTCGATCAGGCTGAATGCCCCAGCTTGCTAGCAGATCCACCAATGCAACTTGTATTACAGTGTATGAAATGTGCGAAATCTCAGCGAGATTGATGTTTGGACACTCACTCGCGCCGCATATTGACTCTACGCGTGTTTCTCAGTTCAGTCATGATTCAGCACATGAAAGCACATTGCGATCCTTACCTATCATCGGAGCTGGGCAACCTTTTCGTTGTAAATATGCTGATGCAGCCGCGAGTGACTGCTGGAATACAGGATACCGGAGCATTTGTCGAGGCATCCGAGGATCCTTCGTGCCCTGTCCGGTGAAAACGAACCCCACTCGAGGTGGCTTCTGGCCGTATTGAGACTGTGAGAGGCCTCGTCCAGTCGCGAGCTGCATCCTCAAGTCTTCGCATGATGTAGCTAGTATATAACTATTCCAGCGAAGTCGAGAACGCCGCTCAGAAAGCGTGTACGCGATATCCAACAATGAACTATCGCTGACTTCTTGCCTGGCCTCCAAATAGGACAATAGTTGTTCAGCAGCACGACGAGGGGCACCTTCATCAAAGCCAGAAAATAGGAGCAATTTCACGGTCAGATCGTTTTCTCGCTGGCTTTTCGTGTCTAAACGGTTTGGTGGCCCATCTTCGCCCCTCTTCTGCTCAAGCCCATTGGAAGGAGAAATGACTAATCGGGTGTTATGGCGCCCCACCAAACCTTTTCGCTTGAGGTAACTGTGAGCATCCTCCATTATGCAGTGACCATTCGTGCTGCTAATACCGAAACAGTTGACAGAAGCCCGTCGTGGCCCAGTTCTCGGCCATGGTGTGACTTTGAGTGGAAAGCGGATATTCCACTCGTCGTTATTTATTCGGGGATTCACTTTCTCGAAGTTGACATTCGGAGGAATGAGACCAGCTTCCAGAACCAGGACAGCTTTTATGATACCCGCAAGCCCAGAGCTACCCTCCAAGTGACCAATATTGGACTTCACAGCGCCAACATAGAGAGGTTGGTCTCGCTTGGCACTTTGAAAAGCCTTCGCCAGAGACTCAACCTCAATTGGATCCCCAACAGGCGTACCTGCCCCGTGCGCCTCAACGAAAGAAGTTTCCCTGGGGTCTAGACCACAGGAGCGGTATGCATTCTGAATCAGAAGCACCTGGGCGTCCCCACTAGGGCGAGTGAGACCTGGGGTTCGGCCATCATGATCCAGGGCTGTGGAGAGAACCACGGCGCGAATGGTATCACCATCGCCAAGTGCCTTTTCCAGATCCTTCAGGATGACGGTTCCTACGCCTTCGCCCCGGGAATATCCATTAGCTCGATGGTCGAATGTAAAACACCTCCCTTCCGCACTGAAGAATCCCGAGTATCCCATGCTAAGGATATGATGGAATGAGCTGCACACATTTCCCCGCTGACAATTGCCTAAACATTTGAGATTTTGGATGAGCTCAGCATTTGAGTCTTGAGCGTCGAGACTACCTACCATATCACTCTCTCCAGCGTGTAGACTTTGGGCAGCCAAGTGGAAAGCGACCATCGAGCTGGAGCACGCAGTCTCTATGGTCAGGCTGGGGCCCTTGAAGTCATAGAACCAGCTCACTCGACCTGAGATCATGGAGCTCTCAGCCCCTGTGGGCTGATGTTTTAAGGCTATGTCTGGATCGGTGCTCAGTCGATCACGATGATCATGGTTAAAGCCAGCCGCAAAGACAGAAGTGTTGGACGATACGAACTTGCTCATCGGGAGCCCGGCTAGAATTTAGTTAGGAAGAATCCAGCTCAATGGTATGCCGCACTCTACACGCACCATTCTCAAGGGCGTGATAGACATTTTCCATAACGAGCCGTTGCTGTGGATCAAGACTTTCAGCCTCGGTCTTGCTGATCGAGAAGAAGGCAGCATCGAAGGCATTGGGATTCTCAGAGAGAAACTGTGCCTGTCGAGTGTGGGTCTATTCGGTTCCAGAATTAGATGAACGCCATCAAGACTGGCATTTAAGATCTATAAGCGTGCCCACCGTTCCAGCATGTTCGGGATCTGGGTGATAAAATCCCTCGTGGTTCAGTCTGTCTTTTGGATAGCTCGTCGTTGCCTCTCGAGCTTCCAGAAGAAAGTCCCAGAATCGGTTGACATCTGTGATTCCTTGAGCGTATTTGGCTGCCAAACCAATGATTGCGAGGGGTTTCGACTGCTTGGCCGACGGTGTCTCCATATTCGGGCGTGTTGTGGGGTGCTAATCACTGTGTAGATTCAGGTGCCGGATGTCAATTTACGAAGCGAGAAGATAGAAGCAGGACGACTGGAGGTTTCCATAGCCAATGACCTGGTGTTCCCGGAGTGTAAGATAGGTCCGGGCCGGGGCGCTACTTGACTCAAGTCAGCACAATGCGGTCACACAACGTTTGGCACCGATTGTATCGGGACAACTTGATGGCATGTATGCTTCCCCTTCGCATAATTCTCTCGTGGGCGAAACTTTAGCCTTCATCTTGAGCAGTGAGCTCTGTCGTATAGGTGGTATGCCTTCTTTCTTCTCTGATTTGAGAGTCTTGATGAAACTATTCGTAGAACGTAATAACGATTCGTCGAGGCTGATGAATGCTTGTTAAGAGTATATCACGCATACAAGTCCTCCCCTTGTCGCCCGTGCTTCAACGTGAGATATTTCAACAGCCGAGATACAGAAGTTCAAAAGAGACTTGAGAGGCCAGGGAGTAGAGAGGGAACGGGTGTTCAGATGATAGAGAGAGGAAAGGGTGGTTGGGATAACGAGGGAAATGGAGCGGGAGAGGTTGAAGACGAAAACGAAGTGTCTAAAGGGTTCAAGTGAGAACGAGAGTCAGCTCCTTCCCTGGAGCAATCGTGGCCTCAGGCTGCAACGTCCCCAAGTACGTACTGTGCCTACACTCCTGAATTTGTACTGTATACCAAAAACAAAATGGACAAGTTGACACATTTCACACAGGCCGAGTTTAATCCCAACTCTTGAGATATAAGATTCCTTCTACAGCTAGTGAAATCCGCCTGTCATTCCAATTATCTCAAATTTACTCGCCAATGCTCAAGATCATTCAATTTGTCCAGCTAAAAAAAGGGATAAAGAACTTCATATACAAACTTGAATCGTAGATAAATACATATACATCATGAATCACTAAACGCCTAGTGCCAGGGCTTGGGTATGCAGAAATCTATGTGCAGTAACCATAATTCAGGGAAGCACATTAACCAGAGCCAGCTCGTCTAGGGCTGACGCTGAGCTTCTCAGGCCAAGAGCTTGAGCCTAAGGCTCCTCCACCGGCAGCTTTGCATTTGCAGCATTCTGCTCCTCGGCAATCACATCGGCGGGGATCTGGTCGGGCGTTGTGTTGACTAGCATGATCATGGGTAGTAAGGCAGCGCCCAGGAGGCCGAACGTCACGCAGCTGGAAGAAATCAGTTATCGCCTGAGCCATTGAGAGAAGATGGACCATAGGACTCAAGAAAAGGAATTATACGTACAAGCCAACAAGCGGACTACTCGACGTCTGAGTGTTCATGCCATAAGCGATGGCTTGGCCAATAGCCTCAATACACCGGAATGCTGCGCCGTTGCGGACGTTTTCTAGAAGCTCGTCAGTAAACATGACCTAAGCCTGAAAGAGTGTAGCAGGTGAAGTTACCTTGCGCATCCGTTGCAAAGGATGAGAGCAACCAGTACATGTACGACTGGGACAGGGGACCCGTCGTCTGTACGAAGAAGTAGGGCAGGAAGGACGTGGCGTACAGGCCATCGTTCCAGTCGATGTTACCGGGGTCATGACGGTCGAATTTCACCTGCATGATGATGGACCAGATGTACACGCCGATGTTGAGGATGACGACGGTGTAGAGGCCGATCTGGGCGCGGCGGCGCTGGCTCATGCCCTTCATGTCGAGGATGAATCCGAGACCAAAGCAGCCAATACTAAATTACGGTTAGGGCTTGGATGATGTGACGAGACTGTAAAGGCCTGAAAGACCTACATGCAGAAGAAAGGCGAAATCAGGGAGGAGAGGGCGCGGGCGCGGACGGAAAAGTAGTCGGCCAGATAGGTGCTCCAAGAACCTCTATTATCACGGTCAAGCTCTGGTCGGTTGGTTCATTTGGAGTGGTTAAGATTGTTGCTTACGAGTAAAAGAACGACCACAAAGCCCAGAGGGCGGAAAGCATGATGAGCTTGGAGGTAATGGTCTTCGCAATGCGTCGAAGTTCCATTCGACTGGAGAGCGTCTCTGCTGTCACAATTCTAGTGCCATCGGACCGGACAACGTGTTCGAAAGGGATGATCAATAGAGCGAATGGTAGGCTTCGAGCTTGTGTTAGCTTCATCTTTGCAAGTAGATTAGAGTGGCTGAGAACTCACGCAATGCACTCAATGATCACAAATGCAATGAAAGTGTCAGGGGTCACTCCACCATCCGCTCCATCCTTACTATTCTTCGCCAAGCTGTGCAGAGAACCTCCAGTCAGGACTCAATCACCAATAAACTGAGAATGTGGGTAAGAACTCACTTGATCGCCCCTCCGACCAACTGTCCCAAGTTCCGTGACACAATCCACAACGCTAGATACTTTCCTCGGGCACCAGACGGCGCCAGAGTCATGATGGCGCCAGCCTCAGCGACATACCAGCAAGCAGTGCCGATGCCGCCGATAGCACCACTTAGGATGAGATACCATTGGTTTCCAAACTTGCTATTGCAGTAGTATGCTGAGCCCTGGATGGGAAATGACAAGGAACCGATGACAAGGGCCCATTTGACGCCGATTTTGTTGACAATGGGACCGCCCAGGAAGCAGACTGCGAGGTTGCGGATTCTTTTGTTAGAGTACTCAACATTCCTTGATAGAAGGGGAAGTGTATCTCGAGAGGAGGAACATACCGACTGCAAGCATGGCATATCTGATTGCGTTGGAGATATTAGATACCTGGGGACTTGCAAGGCCACCACCACCCAGGCCTGTGAGGAATTAGCGGCGCATGCTATAACAGAGCAGGATGTCATTGAGGAGCTCTAACCAGTGATTGCGTCCGACATAGCAGGTCCACAGAACGCTTGCACGCTCAGTAGAATCATCTGCGTCAAACTGTGGCACCAGACTCGCTTCCACCATGGGAGAAGGGGCTCGCTGGTCCCTTCCACGGCAGTAGAAGGAGGGTCCTCATGGGTATGTGGAACAACAGCTTTTGAGTCGGTCATTGTGATCAAGTAATTGTACGACTCCTACCGCCTGTATGGTATCGCTCAGAAGAAAGGGAAACTTGAAGGAAAGAAGCCCCAGAAACCCGAGGCATGGAGGGCAATTTAAGGTCCTGTTGGTAGGATATGTCGGCTATACGAGATAGCATATTCGCCTCTTACCGTGTCGTTAGACCCGACAAGAGATTAGGCTTATCGTGGGAACCTCTCGCCGGCGAGATAGCGACAGTGGGTCGTCTTCCCCGTGGGGTGAGTCTTGAGCATGGGAAGGTCCACGCGCTGAAGAAGAGTCTAGCAGTCTAGCAGTCTAGCTCCCTGCTTGGCTCCTCAATAGCGATTGGTGGCTCTATCGTGATAAGTTGGAGCAGTTGGAGGTTCTTGGCAAGACTTATCGCTTATCGTGCCTCATCACTGATAAAAGAGCGGGGATTCCCTCCATCTGGCCGGCGGGGGGGTCGGAAGGTCCACGCGATGGCATCAAGAGAGATAAAGTGATTATGATATGCTGTATACGCACTGGTTTAATCTTGGAGCCGAAAGTTTTGTTGATGTAATTAACTTTATGTCAACCTTGATTGTCGGGTTGGGTCACGGGTCGTATCTAAGTGCCTGAGGTGGTTGCTGCCTTGTTGCCTGGCTTGGAAGGCACGCCACTAACCGTGGACACTCCATGGGGCTCGAAATATGACTCTTCAACGAAGAGCTACTAAAACCAGGTGAACACCACCTCTGGTGAGTACCATAGTTGAGATAGCCCGGGATCGTGCTTGAGTAGGCTCTCCCGAGGCCATCATACCCCAGCTGTTCCACGCCACGAAATAATGCATTTTCCGGGCTTCAAGACTTAGCTGACTCCGATGCATAGAGATTCGCGTCACTTTTGCCCTGATACTGATTCTGAGCTTGACTGAGTCGCGGAACCATCGTGGTATCACGCCCCGCGTAGAGATATCCGAAAATCATCGAGCCCCCCGCAGGGACCGGGGATGGAAAATATTGGTTCAGTCATTGCCGAAGGGCATCACGCTGTAATATTCTCATCGATCCCATCATTTTATGTACAAAGCTTGCCTATCTGACGCTTTCTGTGCTGTGCTCTTTGGCCTGATTATATGGCCTATAATGGAGCACATCGACGCCTCTCATGACACCACCATGGCAAAGATGTGTATCTGTCTGAAGAGCATGGTGCTCATGGGTAGCGCTGCTAGACTCATCTGCTTAGTCTGCATTGTTGTGTGCTGTTATATGACCGAGCTTTCCAGCAACAAACAGAATGTTCGAAGGTCACATATGGTAATCCGACGCGCGGATGAAACAGCCTGTCACATATGCCACATCGATCTGGTGTCTTTTGTTCTTCCTAACTTTGAAGTATACAGAGCCCTGGAGATACTGTGCTCAGAACAGCCTGGAAATGGCATGCCTGAAACGTCGATATATGCAAATAATTCATACTGAAGTGCCCACGGATCTACTTTCATATCAAAAGATACAATAATATGTCAGCGCAGACACTGGTGGAGAGATTTAGCTTGATATAAGAGGGTGTCTTTCAATCGGGAAAGAACTAATGCCCCAGTCTTCTCCTTCTAACTATATCCAAATGAAACCATACCTACAAACCGCGACTTGATTGATCTTCAAATTCCTCACTCTTCATCCCCAACGCAAAAACTCATACAATTCACCATCAAGCATAAATAAAGCATACGATTTTGAGACCTGTTTATTCCGTGACGGTGGGACTTTATATCAAGGTCCGAGTCTGTGTTACAGTCGTACAACATTTGACCCTCCGCGACGAGATCAGTGCTACCACATGCACCTACACTATACCTGTGGACGACACGAGAACACGGGTTCAGGTCCGACAATGGCTCCAAAAGGTCGTCCTGGAGACGGCAGCTTTGCGAGGTAAATGTAGTGCCCTGAGGCTGTTTGAGTCCAGACTCCTTGATGGTCCCCAAGAGCTATGAGCTTGGAGAA